AGCTAAACCTCAAAATGTCAGGCAAACTGGTTTAAAATATTTAAGGCAGGTCTGGACCTGCATGAGAAACACACTTAATGGTCCGCTACCTCTGATGTCAACACAATCTTTCCCACTAACCCTGAGAAAGAAATCAGTTACCTAATATTTTTTCAAATCCACGCCAACACAAATATGCAGGTAGAGCACCTTTCTACAACTATTTTCATCCTCTTTTGATGCTCATTGACATTTTCATTTGACACAATTTAAAGAGGCCCGGAAGTGCCGCAATTCAAACAAACATTGTGATTGTGCTCTGCTGCATTTATTTGAAATTTATAGGCACTTACAAAGCAAGCATTTACATACAAAACAGGCTGTTTGTTGATGGATTCCTCCATCAACAAATGACTGTGGCTCCGGTTAATGGCTTTAGATAACAAATGGGTGACCCTGAACATCTCAGCATGGAGCATTTTGTCTGACATCTCAGCTCTGCGGCCACAAGGACAGCTGCTTATATTATATCATATTTCACTTTTGATTTATTGACCTCTTCCTTTCTTTCCAGTTTATATTTTATTGAGCTGCTTTTGTGCAATTTTAAACATTTTCTGAGCTATTGTTTTGTGATGTTGTATTTGTTTTTATTGGGATTTTATTTTCCTTTTCATGATTTTGGCTACCGTGACAACGAATCTGCCCAACGTTTGAGCATAAATAAAGTATATATTTCACCTCTGAACATGAATATCAGCAACCTCAGAGCTCTACACAATATAACATCAGTCCTCTCACACGTAGCTCTTTGTATTTTCTCTAAAATTTCAATGATTCAATCTTCACTTCTTATCCACAAGTACTCTAATCACAAGATTTATGCAAAGTGTAGTTACTGTATAAAAAGCCCCAGGTGTGTAAAATGATTAGAAGATAACACACTTTGTTAACAGTCAATGAAGCACAGGTAGCTTCCATGACATTAAAGTACATTTGAAATACCTGCAACAATCTATCTGTTTTCAGGGTCAGAGGGGGGCTGGAGAGCACCCTGAACAAGTAACCAATCACTCACAGCGCTAACACAGACAGACAGACAATCCCTCACATCTACTCTAATGTAGAATCACCAGTTCACCTAGCACGCATGTCTCTGGACTATGAGAGGAAGGAGGCATACAGGAGAGAAACCAGCCTGCACATGCAGACTCTACACAGAAATGCCCCTGATGGCCAGCAGCCTCAAACCCAGAGCCTTCCTGCTCTGAGGCGATACTGCCAAACATTGCATCAACCTTTATTTCATTTGTCAAAAACAATGAACAAATACTATTTTAGCCTTCATATTACTGTTTGAAAAATGTCCTTAATAACCATGGTTGTAGTCTTTTAAGATGAGAAGGGTCATCCAAAGCTTAAACCAAACACTCTGAATTATATCTAGACAGACATGTCATGGCAGGCAGCAGCCATCTGGCCATTTTGACCTGAAGTAACCAGAATGAAAAGCAGGCCTGGGCACCTAAGTCTGTCTCTCTCATTTTAGCCATTTCCTGCACATATTACAACTGTCAGTGTCAGCAATCACAACAAATAAACACAGCGAGTCGTTTAATTTGTCCTCAAATCATCGGCCTGCACACACACACACACACACACAGAGGCTAACGAGAGGTGACAGTAATCTGTGGCCAGTGAATGAGATTGTGTGTCAAGAGGCTGCATGGCCCAGTTTTTTTTTACTTTTGCTCTTTCTGTCTTTTACACACACACACACACACACACACACACACACACACACACACAGAAACAAGTTAACTCGCAGCTCTAAGATTACCTTGTTTAGGATGAAGGTCCATTTATATCCCGTAACCTCCAATTATCTATGTGACACAGTAAAGGAATAATGGAAATGGAAGGAACGGGAAGACTAAAAGCAAAATGGAAACTGATGAATACTGGCATATAAAGCTTGAACCATCTGCCTACTTCCCTCTCTTCCTTGCTAAAAGCTATTGTCGATGCCCTATTGAGACCAAAGGTGCTAAAACCAGAGTTTAATTTCTGTGCTGACATTTAGATCGGTTCACATCATGTGCCTCACAAGCCGTTCTATAATAAATCCAAACCAACATCATCCATCATATCTGAGAATCACCACACTCTGATATCTCTGCGAAGACGGGGATGAAAACCAGATAGCACGGACAGCTTGCCAATCCTGACACCCACACAGTGTTGCTGTTCCTCCTCTTCTCTCCCACCTGCCTGCTCCGTCTGCTTCACCTCACACATTTCTTACATATTTCCTGTTAGCTGTCTGCTTATGGAAGATAGCCATATTTCTATACAAGACTTTAGCTGGTAAACTATTTAATATCTATAATGCAGCAGAAAGTATTTCTCATTTCTGTCATACAGTTACTGATGAAAACAGACAGAAGGAAGGGGGCAGCTAATGTTGTTGTGGTTTTATAATCAATCAATGCGTAATGTGGCCCAATATAAACATGTTGCATAATAACAGTTAGTAGGAGATGCTCCAATTATTAACTCATAATTGGTAGCAGCGCCTAATATTAGGATCTTGTTCACAAATGTAGCACCTACAGGAGGCAGCACCCCCTTTCTTCTATGTGAACACTATGGATTTGAGGACCATCACAGTACTAAGAGCTGTTTTTTTAGTGTTTTTAGCTCATAGTACCATTCCTAGTGTAACAGGAAGTTTGAGTGTTGTAGATGTAAAATGGTTGCTCCAGATGTACGTCTAAACATCAGCAGCTCTTAATATTAGTGTTGAAAAAAATCAGAATTAAACCTAAATGAAGTGAACAAGCTGGAAAGTTTAGGCTTTTTTGACCCTATTAAATATTAAAATATTTACCAGCAATACCCTTGAACCAAGGAGAAGCAATAAAGAGCGACTTTGAAGAAGCTGAAACAAGATTAAAAACAGGGATAAATGAAAAAAAGGGATCAAAACAAGAGGCGATGTTGGAAAACTAGCTGCTGGACAGCTTTTGTGTTACTTCAGAGTTTCTATTCGTGGGGCAAATGCAAGCAAAAATTAAAAATAAATAAGGATTCGAAGGCAAATAGCTCCCAGGGGACCTACTCAGAGGGTACTTATCCTCAGTCCCCAGAAGAGTTTGGTCTGAGGTGGCTAATTAGACTAAATTACTGCGCTGCTTCAGTTTGTTTCCTCCAAACTACTGAATGGATTAAAGGGATGAATCCCGGGATAATTGATCTTTTTTTTTAGTGATAAAGTCAGCCGTCTTATCTGTGATACAGATCAGCAACTGCACAACTATACTAACTATACACTATTACTACCAGTGCACTAATGCTGCATGACTATTGTTTAAAAGCTGAGCGAAAAGTTGCGCAGAACAATGAATTTGTTTGGATGTTATGATCATTTCAGAAATCTGTATTGATCGGTGTTGTTGTTTTTCTTTATTCTAACCAGATGGCACTCCACAAGAATCAGTGGGCCTTCTCTCTCGCTGTCCATGTTGCCGGTAATGCAACTTTATTGGTTTTCTCACCTCTTTCCTCTCCGTCTCTCACCACAATCCGGTCGGCCTCTAAGTTCACATTCTCTCTCCTATCGATTATGTTTAGCTTTCATCCGGATTTGAGCTTTTTACATCAAAGGCTGTCTGCATTTAATCAAATAACATAGCATCTTTACAAAATAAAAGCGGGGCTTATAAAATAAAGCTCTGCCATATTAGCTCGGGCTTTTCGACTTTGAATGTAACTGGAAACTTCGGGCTATTCTGGACCTTGATAATCACTATTAGCAGAGGTTCACGTTTCAGGACGTGGGAGGTTTCAGGGGCGTATTTATAGTTGGAAGGGAAACATTTGTGGTCAGGAGAGAAAGATGGAGAGAACTCAGAGGCTTTGTTCGTGTCTGTCTCACTCAGCACCCATATTCACTTTCCTGAATGTTAGTGGAAAGCGACAGGCTCACATACGAGGACTAACACATCCCTGCAACATCAAAAGACAACTGAGAAGCCATGCATGAACAATGGCATATAACGTTACCTGTGCAGACACAAGGTATATTTAGACAAGCCTAACTTGTGCTGTCATTGTGTGTCTGTGTCTGTGTGTCTGCATAATACAAGAATGATGAGGTAAGCCCACCAGTGTCAACATTAACGTAACAGGCACCGGGCTTATTTTAGGAATTTCACATTTAGATTAAGCGCCTGAATGCACACACAGG